TTCTGTGATGGGATCGAACCAAGGTTGAACAAGTTCTTCTTATTATGAACTTCTTCTCCCTCATTGGATGAGTTTTTCTCATTATGAACTCTCCACTGGAAATTTTGAGGCAAGGTTGAACAAGTTCTTCCCATTATGAACTTCTTCTTCCTCGTCGGATGAGTTCTTCTCATTATGAACTCTTCATCGAAAATGTTGATCGGTTTATCTTCTCTTTGAAGATTTTCAAACCTGCAAAAGATTATCATGTGTTAGTAATAATTGTGTTTCAAAACTGCAAAAGATTATCATGTGTCAGTAATAATTGTGTTTCAAACCTGCAAAAGATTTAAAACTAAATCTAAATAAATTAAACTAAAAAGGAAACACTTAAACAATTTAAAAAATAAAATATCAAATAAAAAATAAAAATCAGTAAAATAAAAACAACATAAAATAAATGAAAATAAACATTAAATATAAGGACCTAATTGCATAAATATATAATTACCAAGCAAAAAAGAACAAATTGAACATGCAAAGGGGCTAAATTAAAATAAAGTAAAAATTAAAGCTTAATTGAAATAAAATAAAATCAGAATGACTAAAATGTAAGAAAAAAAAAGTCAGTAACTAAATAAGAAATAAACAGTGACCAAAATGCAAAAAATAAAATAACAGTAGCTAAATTAGAACTAACAATGACTAAATTAAAATAAAACAAAACAGAATAATAAAATTACAAGAAATTAGAAATGAAAGGGTGACCAGAATGTAAAAATACGGAAAAATTAGAGGGATTTAAATAGTAAATTTACCAAAAAATTAAAGCATGCATAGTAAATTGGTGAAATATCAAAATCGACCCCTATAGTGACCAGAATGCAAAACCTGCTCAAATATAAGGGATTTAAAACAAAATTTACCCCTAAAATCCTTCTAAAATAACATACGTTTTGTTTTTGTTTTATAATTTTCATTTTTTAGTTTTTATTTTATTTTTTAGAGAGAGGGTCTCCCTTCTCTCTAGAATTTGGCCGGTTTTCGGTGGTCGTTGGCCATCAAATTTTCGGGGCTTGTTCGTCTCGTCGCGGTGGTAACAGATCTGGACTCCTTTTTGTTAGGAGACGCTCCGATCGTCGTGAAATGGCCAAAGACCGCTTGACTTTCCCAGGCTCTGATATGTGTCGTCCGTCGTTAGATCAGGTCCAAATTTCAGTATGCCGCTCCGCTCCTCGAGACGCTCATTCTTACCGTTCGGATCGTCTAACCGAACCTCCGAACGCTGACGAGACTCCGATAGAATGGTAAAACGCCTTTTTTTATTTTTTTTGTTTTGAAAGCTAATAAATAAAATAAAATAAAAATACCAAAAAATCATTGAAAATTTTTCTCTACTTCTTATTGATAAATCCAACCCCCTCTATTACATTTTTGTTCGGGTATTTATAGACCCGATTTACACTATTTTCACTTGTTTTTTCTTTTTTTTCTTTAAAAATGTTTAAAGTCAAAATAGTTGGTATCATTGTTTGTTCTGTTGTTCCAGCTAGAATTCGGTTGTAGTGGAGGAAGTTATTTTTTTTTACTTTTCATTTGAAATTTGGTGATGACAATATTAAAAATATTTTATCTTCTTAATAGAAAAATGATACTCGGAATAATGAGAGAATTTGAACTTTGAGAGGGTTTGGATGTGTGTGTTTGGTTTGTGTTTGAATATAGAGGTGGTGGGGTATTTATAGGAAGATGGGAGGGGGTTAGTCGAATTTCCCATAAATGTAGAAGGTGTGAACGGTTGGGGTATTAATGGAAGGCACGGATGGTGATCCGCGCCTTACTGGCGCGTGTTAGAAACCTAAAAAAGATGCAGATGGCGATCCGTGCATGTCCTTACGTGGAAGCAACTCAGATAGTCATCCGCCTTTCATGACGTGGCGTCAACTCGGATGAAACCTCGCAAAGGCGCGGATGACGATCTGTGCCTTGTCAAAAAGTGTACTAGATTAGTAAAATTAAGAGAAAGGTTGTCTGACAGGTAATTATTACCTGTAGTGATATTTCGGTAAATTTTCCTAAATGAACTAGCAAACTAAAAATAATTCTCATAGGATTAAATACTTGTAAGTTTAAGCTCATATTGAATAGAAACATTTGAAAAAAAAAACAAAATACAACGAAAGATGATAAGGTTTTACAAGAACAAAGATGATGAATTACTATAATAATTAAGATTTTATTTTAAGGATTAAATTTATAAAATTTTAAAGGAAGTAAACTTATAAAAAATTTTAAAAAATAAAAATAGATTATCAATAAAAAAATATTTAAAATAATATTATAAAATTTTAAGAGAAGTAATCGTTTAGTTCACTCTTCTCGTCGATACATCATGAATATATAAACACATAGGATAGAAGAAAATGAAATGGCGTAGATTGTAACAATAGCTAGGCCTAGGTAGCTAGTGCAGCATACGCATCAATGAAACAGAGACGTGGGCCTTTACCTCACTCCTTGCTATTATTACATTGAAAATGACAGTGCAGACAAACGCACAAGGTTATATTATACAAGACAGATCTTTTGACAAAACCGTTGTCTCTACTGTCTCCATTCAGAAGATTAATATATAGAGATAAAAGAAGAATCCTTGAGACGGTAGATGCTATAACTTAACAACACCTATTGAGTTTGGACCATATTATAAGTCGACGCAGAGGGATGGGGGAATGCGAATGCGAGTGCAACAAAACCAAAAAGGTGGGACAGCCTCTGCAATTGTGTTTATATTTGTTATGTATAGTTTTCTTATGGGCTTCTGCTTAATTGTATATTTCAAACGGTACAAAGGTTTTAAAGCATTTGGCGGGAGAGAGCGAAATATGATGGTCCATATGTTGTGTTTATAGAGGGAGGTTATAGGGTAGGACCACCACACCTTCCAAACTCAAACTGTACCATTGAGCCCTCCCTACCGTCCAGTTGGCGGCCGCTATGTGTCACCATTGTCGGCTTCTCTGTCTGGGGATGACGTGTAAGAAGATCTCTTTCCTCGATATTATTGAAAAGAGAGATGACGACATGATAAGACCCGGAGAGAGAGAGATGCATGTCTCGCACTCCATTTTGCCTTCCATCTCTCACTTGAGTAATCATAATGGAGTATAAATCTATTAGCCCATTACAACTTCGTTTAAATCCAGGTGAAATGAATACTGTGATGGGCCAAACAAAATGGGTCTAAACCCAATCCTCTGATGGCAAAGTCTGGGGTTTAGCGTCGTCCCCTTTCCCTTACCTCTCCTCTATTATATGGTTAGGGTTTATTGTGCTTTCTTTCTATGTTCTGGTTTGAACTTTGAAGGCTGCGACAGAGACAGTTAAACAAGAAGGATAAAGGGAAGGAGAAAATGGATTCGTTTTCAACAGGTTCAAGCGGAACAGGACCTCCCCAGTTTTCAACAGATGAATTCATGGATCAGATGAAGGTTCAACTTGCCCAGCTTATGCCCAAGAATTCCTCGAGGTTACCCTCTGTTCCTCTTCCTTAATTATGTTTCTTGGTTTTCAGTATCTTTATGTAATCAGTAAAATTTGTGAATTTCAACCCTTTTTTCTACAACTTGAATTATATTTTTCTATACCGGCCATAGTTCATGGGTCATTAACATCTGTTCCCTGTGTAGATAACTTTATGTTGTTGGATGATTGTAAAGGTAGCCATTTTAATGGAATAAGACGGACGTGGGTTATTCTTGATTTAGATAGTTATGCAATGTTTAGATGGAATCAAAACCCAGAAAGAAGCCATGACCCTCGGATTTCTATAAGTGGCTTAAACCCTTCGACTCATTTGACTTAGCTTGTCTCAAAATGTTCGTTCAGGAGGATTCTATAAATGTTAATGCTACAAATCTTTTCTATGCTGAGGTCACAATTTGGCAATCCTAATAAAATATAATCCATGCCATGGTTCTTGTTCTTCAGCATTATGTTTGTCTACGAAAGCATACTTGTAGAAGTTTGTTGGCCTAATTAGTCACTGTTTAAGCATTATTTGAAGAAAAATTGTTACTAGTTCATAGCTTATTTTGTATGTTTACTTATATGTGTAGATATTTTTGTTTGATTAAAGTTTTTAGTTTCTTCGTGATGCAACCAATTGTCGGATATCTTACCTCTAGGCCTGGCTGTTGCTATAAAATGTCCACTTCATGAGAATGAGAGTGTAGTATGTTATTTGGTTGCGACATCAGATGATTTTCTTCATGCTTTCTACAGCAGTATTTCGGGGTAAATGCAAAAAAATCTCCACTTAATGTCTTATTTTTTATTTGTCATACAGACGGTGAGGGGGAAGTGCTTTGAAAAGTGCATAACAAAGCCAGGCTCGAGTCTGAGTGGAAGTGAAAGTAGTTGCATCTCTAGATGTGTGGATCGCTACATTGAGGCCACCGGCATTGCTGGCAGGGCTCTTTTCTCTTCCTGTTGAAATTCTTAAACCGAGATATTGCTTTTGAAGAATATGTCAGCTGCTAAGGTTTGGTCAAGATCCTAAATTCAAGGATGAGTGAAATTTGAACTTTGTTTTGGTACCATGTTTCCTAAATTTAACTTGAGAAATTGTAACTTTGCATAAATTTCTGAATTTGTACTTGTCAATCTTGCAAACCAGATACCTCTTAGATTTTACATGGTTAATACTCTTTTGTTACTATATGAATCCTTGAGTTCATTTTTCTTGTCGTCTCTGGGTCTCGCTCGTGGATAGCAATATAGAGACAGACTCATATGATCAAAAACTGTCAAAGATAAACAGATATTTCATTTTTTGCATAAATTTATTTTCTTGTTGATATTTACCTCTGCTTTAATCTCTAAATCCTCGTCCACAACATGATGTTTGGTTTATTTGATCGATGTCATATAATCGATCATCATGAAATTAAATGTTGAAAGATTGCAAGCTAATTAAATGTTTACAAAATTAAATTGAACTCATATTTGGATTGAATAAACATAAGTAGAACAGATTCCTATCAACAAGGCAAGTATCAATTATCATCTGCATAAGATTGTAAAACCTCTGTTTTGACAGACAATGGAATTCTCACATCAGTTCGTTCATTTCTCCAAGTCAGGCTCCCAAATAAATACCCTGTGTTCATCTGATGTGCTGCAGAGATTGTAACATTGAAGGAGATCTTCTTGGTTCTAGAGTTGAAGGCCAAGACGTGAGGCCTTACCGTTACAGTTAAGCCAATTGGAGGCTCAATTACAGCTCCATAGATAGATTTAGGGGAACCCACATTTGTTACTGTTCTAGTAAGAGTTACCGAATTTCTTAGACTTGAAATGGTTATGGATGGTACATTCACATCTAGAATGGATGGCTTTTCATCCGGGCACGTTGTAGATTGCCCTGTAAGTCGATTGATGGCGGAGTTATTATAACCCATGGCACAAAGGTAATAGGCGTAGTCCAATAACCCCATGTCATATATTAGGCCGGGATCTGCTGCTGCATTGGGGTTTACGATGCCACCTCCGAAATCGAATGGATTAGCCAGTTTTTGAGGAGATCCCTCAGCAAAGAGTGGGAAACCTGATGCATCCTTCGTCCTTGCTGCAATGGGTTAACGAATAATGATCATGAAGTGATTAATAATGATCATGAGTTAATCACTTACATTCTGAAGAAACATAAATGAAAAGATAAGGTAATGGAAATACCAGTTGTGACTAATGCAGACTTAATAGCTGCAGGAGACCAATCAGGATGCACTGCTTTGAGAAGTGCAACGATGCCTGAAACATGAGGAGTGGCCATCGATGTTCCCGAGTGTATGGCATATCCACCGTCCATCCACCGATCCATCTGAGAAGTTGCAGCTAGTATGTTCACTCCAGGTGCAGTTATATCTGGCTGTGTCCAAAAAAAATTTAACAAGATTATCTCGAAATACTTCATTCGACTTTTAAACATAAGTCATTAGCTTAAGACATCACTGATGAATGATTAAAATTTAGCTGAACTTCTGAAGCCCCATTTGGTATAGAATTTTGAAAACTCTCAAGTTATATACATAATAGTAAAATCAATCTACCTTGAGAATTTCTGGTGCAATGGAGCTAGGCCCCCTTGATGAGAAAAAGGCCACCTTAGCTGACAGAGGCTTGCCTACAAATGTTCTTGAATGGCTCAATTTCACTGTAGGGGACCTGTTTTGATAAATTTTGAGAATCACCAAGGATTTCAATGGAATCTAGTAATTACTTATTATGAACAGAAAAATGATGGTACTTGGCGGATCTGATGTAGTAGAGTATTCGGGTGCCGATTTCGTAGTCAACTTCAATGCATGGAAAGCCATCACTGCATTCAATCAAGGCATCTGTTGGATTTTTCGCAACAATCAGCCCAATACCTCCTGCTTCTTGCACAGTTGCTGCAGCAAGTCTTATAGCAACTCTTCCTGTAACTGAGGCAAAGCAAAGTACCACTTTTCCAGCTACCAACGTCAAATTAAGTAAAAGAGATTGGCATGCACTGCAAGGTAGTAGTTAACCAACTGAAATATGTTCTTTATTTGGAATCTTCTAAAGTTAAAACTCAATGGACTTAGAAAATAGCTACCCTGCAGAAGTAGGGTCAAGTCCCGTGCCCTCTGGGTATGTCAAGCCGGTAAACCCGTTCTCCTTTCCTGTAAAAATGGCTTGACCCTGCAAGTGTTATCAACCGATATGCATCAGCACTCTATAAATCAAGTTTGGGATCCAATAGCCAACATAATCACAGAATTAATACCAAGAAGGTTTTGTTGTTCCCAAGTGTTATGGGTGTTGGGAAAGCTCGATCCATGGTACTTGCTGCAACAGTTAATATCCATGGTGCTGTGTTCTGCACTGTTTGAGCTGAAGGCCCTTCATTTGCAGCTCCGCAAACAACTGTGATGCCCCGAGCAACGGCATGGAAAGAACCTGTAGCAATCCCATCTCGTTCATCGACATCTGAAAATAGAGGTAATGAATACCCAATTGACAATGATAACACATCAATTCCATCATGTATTGCTTCATCAAAGGCTTTCAGAATATCAGCTGATGCACATTGTCCACCAAGAACATTCCAGCAGACTTTATATATGGCCAACCGAGCACGTGGTGCACCACCTCTTACTGTCCCAGGACCAAGGCCTCTATAGCTAACATTTCTTACATAAGAACCACTTGCTGTGCTTGATGTATGTGTTCCGTGTCCATTAGCATCTCGTGGTGACAAGAACTCTGGATCTTCAGTTGTGTTTAATGGCTGTCCATACTCAGCAAGAAATCCATCGATGAACCAACGAGCTCCAATAATTTTCCTGTTGCAATGAGTTGCTGCATTGAAATGATCCCCCGATTTACATACACCTTTCCAGTGGGATGGGATTGGCCCAAGTCCTTCATCACTGAATGCTTTAGACTCTGGCCATATTCCTGTTTCACTATGAACAACTAAATTAGCTCCTTAATGCATTTACAAAGCCTACGAGAGCGAGATGCAGAAAAATTGCAAGTACGAACCAGTATCGAAGACACCGATGATAACTCCATCACCCATCTTACTATTTTGAAGAACACTGGTAGGATAATGAGAAGAAAGACCAAGGAAGTCCCAGCTCCTGGTTGTTTGCAGTTTGTGAAGGCTATTCGGTATTACTCGAACAACACCAGGTAACTCTAAAAGGTGAAGGATTGCATAAAATGAAAAACAAAAGGAAACAAAACAAAAGCAAGTCATATTAATGTACCACTTGAAGTCATCATCAACATGGCCTGCTGAGAATATATTATCTTTCTTCATGAATATCCATTAGAGTTAAAATGATGTTTTCAGTATCAACTCTAATCAGTACCTGAGAGTTTTTGTGCCTGAGACTCTGTAAGCTTAGCTGCAAATCCTGAGAAGCCATGTCTGTAACTATAAACCATCAAAATCTGAGGCTATCTCCTTACTGCATCATGATGAAATCCTCACTAGAATCAGATTCATTACGTAATTACTAATTAAACACATAATTCCGTTTGTCTTTCCCTGTTTTTTTGTTGTTGTTATACCTCCCTACTACCGTAGCGAGCAAGTCATGATGAGAATCTGTAACCCGCTTAGGATCATCAAACGGCCTTTCTCCAAGATAAACGATGTGAACCTGTTGAATAAGAATAGAATTTTGGACACCTCTTCTTCAGAAACAGTAACAGCAAAAAAAAAAAAAAAACTAATAATAATAATCTTGAGATGGACTAATTTACATACACTGCTCTTGGCTTCAACTTTTGATATCATCAGTCCTTGTCCATTAAGAACCGAGAGAATAAGAACGATCACGAAGGGTGGCAGTCGATTGACCATACTGTTTCTTTATGGATCAAGAATAGTTCAGGATATGCTTGAGTTGCAGATCAGTTTTTGGTCTTCAACAAATACTAAATGTGGAAACCTCAAAATCTACCGCATATTGCAAAGACTTTATCGTAGGAACTTGATAATCGATATAAAAAAAAGAAAGAAATGGATGTGTTGTGCTTGCAAGGGTTGAAAAGTGGGAACGGGAAACCAATGGAACTTAAGAGTCAAACTTTACGCTGCTGTTTAACTTCTGTATTAATTATTAAATCAAACACATTCTGGTGCGTTCCTTGGAAGTGTTGCTCGACATTAGAAAGTGATCCTCACGCACCTTGAGATGAAGCCAACTGTTCCTTTTCAGACAAAATATTATAAACAGTGCGTTGCTTGGGTAACTTTGTCCGAGGCTGATAAATAAAACTATAAGACAAGAACACGTGTAGGCACATTGAGAGGTGGGTGCTTGGCCTCATTCTTTGACATTTTCTGTAGCAGACTATAAAATATTATTTGACTTCTTTTTATGTGCCGAAAGTTGAAACAGAAAGCAAAAGGGCTAAACTTTATCATCAGCCGGAGATGAGTGTGAAAGAGAAGGACTTGAACAGAATTTTAGCAGAACAACGGGAAACCGTGGTGCGCCGGTGCCATTTACCAACGCAACTTATTTAGGAATTTGATATCGTGGAGATTTGGTTGTGTGAATTGAACCAACTTTGGCAGCCACGTCCAAAAAGTCAGAATTCCATGGATATTAATATTAGTCGGGAATATTGGAATTGGTCATCCATGTACGTGTTGAACAAAATGAAAATCAAATTTAGATTATGTCAGCGCTTGGGAATAACTAATAAATGCAATCCAGTCGTTTACTTTTGGAAGGGATGCATATTAATCTATGTATTGAAAAAAAAAAAACCAACATCAGCTTAAGATTAACACAACTGGCATCATTGTTTTAATGGGCGCTACATCACGTTTGATTCCAATGTCACTTCTAAATCCTAAATATTAATCCTAAATAATAAATACAAATCCGAAAAAGAAAATTCAAATAAATTTCATATTGAACGTAATAGTTTTACCTAAAAGTGTAGTGACACTCTATGTACAGGGTCGCCTGTATACGAGTATCTGAAGGAGGTATACGCTAGTGGGTTGGTTCAAAATGAATCGGTAAAGGCGGAGGGGGCAGTAATTTCGTTTTCAAGATAAAGTCTCTTGTAAAAAAATACAAGGTTCGACTCAAAATCTCAATTACAAAAATTTTCAAATATTAAAACGTTAAAATGATATATTAAAATTAATCCAACTCGAAACGAGGGAACCGAGCAACAGGCTATCAGTTCGAACGATGGTAGCCCGATTCTGCCTCAACCAAGGTTAGTGACGACAAAGGTATAACGACAGCAGCGGTAGGTGGTATCGACGACGTCAATGGCCACCTAGTCGAGACTAAAAAAAAAGAAGGGAAAAAAGGGGTGACAGTAGCCCCCATAACAACCAAGGTGTTGCCCAGGCTCGAAAACGATTGACTAGGCCTTATCATGTGAAGCTCCGACCAACCGGTGACCATTAACAGTTGTAGACAACTCCAATCTGCGGCCTGACGTTTGATTCTTTACCAAAATCTCAAGCGGCAGCAAACTCACGGCTAAGGAAAGAGAATGGAGACGACCTTGCTTTAATGGACAGTGACAACTCTTTGGTAAAGAGGAGCAAGCGGCGCGATGACAAAGAATGAAGAAGGAAAAGAAAAAAAAAATAGGGGTTTAGGTGCATGAAATAAAAAGGGCAGGGTTGATGATATAAACAAAATAAGTTACAAGGTTATTCCCTCATTTTTTATATTTTCCGAAATGGACCCAAAATTTATACCTTTTGAAAAATGGTCACTAAAATTTTTGAAAATTTCAATTTGGTCATGAATTAAATTTTAGGGATTTGAAGAAAACTCCTCAATTTCTAGGGTTTCAAATGAGGCTAATATTGGGTGTTACAACTCTCATCCCTTAAATAAAATTTCAACCTCAAAATTTACCTAAATGAATAAAGGAAGTACCTGTAATTTTGTTTGGCTTATCCTGATCCTCATATCTTTAAGTAGAATATACCAACCCTAGCTTCCTCATTACTAAGCTAACTGAACCTTTACTATGAGTTGGTTTAACCATATTAGCTGAATCAAAATTAGTAGGTCTATCTTATTATCTACCTCCGATCGGTGTTTGAATTGAATCCTGAGACTGATTAGAAAAATAAAGAGAAGTAGGTTGAAATGGACACTCATTGAAATATGATACTCCAAAGATCCACATCGAAAACAACCTAAAGTCTTCCTCCAACACTCTCTCGCATGTCACTTCTTATAGTTTGAACATGATGGCACCCCACAAGTATCAGTCGAACATTCAACACTTGCAGTCTAGGTAGCCTCTAGAATCTATCAAAATTTTGGGACTTGAGACCTGATGTCAGTGGCTCGATCCTCTCAATAGTCTTAGCTCGTGCAGTTAACTTACTAAATATCTTGTTGTGATTGAAGGCAACACTTGACTGAGTTGTAATTCAGAGGCCTTTCAGAAACCAATCACACTTTTCTTTTTCATTAGAAACCATCTCTGGAGTATACTTGATCGATCTCATAAACTCTATCTCAAAGTTGTTCACAAACATATTATTCTTATTTAAGTTTTAAAAATCGTAACGATACTTCGCCAGATGCTCAACTTCCACATAATGATCCTAAAATGCCTGAAGCAAATACTCCCATATGATTTGGCCGACTGAGATATTATCCTCCTTAACCTCCTACTAGTTTTGAGTTTCGTTGTCTGACAGAGATACAACGACCCTCAACTTACAATCGACGAGGTAATTCATCTAAAAAATAAACAATGCAACATCTTCAACCAATACTCGACATCAATAAGATCATGTATGACCTTACACATTGGGCTGCCAAGACAACCCCTAATTTTCAAAACATGTTCATTTTCTTTTCAAAACATATATCATGGTATCAATGTGCATAAAAGACATTTATTAAAAATATTTAACAAACCGAAGCTCCGTGACATATTGTTAAACCAAAATAATATAAACTTAAAGTTTAATAAAAAAATACATAAGTAAGGTTTTATGAATACATATGCCCACTAAAGCTACAGTACAGTTCTCTGACGGAGATGTTGGAAGTCCTACTACGATGGTGCTTCACGAATGATCTAAGCTAGAAATCTGCGAACGGAACACCCAAACGTTGAGCTTACAAATCCTAGTAGTATAATCGGTAATCTAGAGCATTATTATGAGTTTCATAAACATAAACATGCTAAAGGCATGGTGCTGAGCAATAGGTACATACATGATCTTAATCAAGTGCTACCTACTTATAGTTTAACTATTTTTTCACTAAAGTAGGAGTCTCACGCTACCCTTAATCTTCTGCTAAGGGCCTTGCCATGAGTACAAGTCTATTGGATCTCTACCCACACTAATTGTATCTACCATGCATTCTTTAAATATGAAACTAACACTGTTGCGCATTATATAATTGCCATACTGATTAGTATTTGCTCTTACATAGATATTAGACACTAATTAACCTAGAGAACCCAATGTCACATAGAATCAGTAAAATTTCCACTAAGCTGCTAAATGATCTCTTGGTTTCACATAACCATCAGGTAGATCATGAAGGAGGAACCTGATGTCACATAGCATCGGTACAATTCCTGATCAACTAAAGTATTGGCTCGGTCTCATACAGTCGTCAAGCCAAGCTCTAAAGGTATATATTGTACTGGATTGATGCAACTATACATGCATAATTGAGGGCCCTAAGCCCTCAAAATACTGATAATGCCCCACTAGGGCAACTAAGGTAACCTAACTACACCCTAGCATAGTTGGACACACTAAAGTGAGATCGTCGTCTCACTAACTGCTATCTCGCTTGTTCTCTCATCTAGAAAATTATGCAAGGGTTTATTAATATGTTACTTCTATTAGTTTATTTAACTACTTTATTCTGGTCATTCATTACTTAAGGGTATTTTAATAATTTTTGTCTCTAAAGAGGTCTTTATATATTTCATGACTTAACTATGATTACCCTACTTGTTGTTAATTGGTTGTAACAATAGCTAGCCTGATACCTCACTCGGGTTTATTACTGGGTGGCGACACTCTAATCGTTCTTATCGTACTTCCCTTCAATACCCTTTAAATTGAAGGTATCGCTTACATGTTATCGATTCACTAACGTGTCCTAAGAATACAAATTCTCTATTATGCAATCTGACTTACTTATCATACCACTTGTCCGTATATCCTCTATAATGATCCTCTTTATTAATTATTTGATACATGCTCGACTGAAGATACTTGGACATATTACGCTTAGCATGGTTACTTTGGTTGTAACCTATTCCTACGAGTGTCTCTAGGCATCTTTGGTTATTTATGTTCCCCACGGACTAAGTTCCACCATTATGGATCATTTTAACTCTTACTAGTATAGGTTAATTTATTCACTTAGGACCATAAGGGTATTTCAATAATTCACATTGTTCACAGTTTCTCTATCACATTATTAGTATACTACACCACTTCACTTGTAGGCGTGTCCTTTACAATGATCCACCGTTCGTGAATATTTCATACACACTCATTTAAGGGTATTTTTAAGGCTTTTCACTCACTAAGAGTCTTTTATAATTTATGCCACCTAAGGGACGTTTTGGGTCATTTCATAATTTAGGACCATTTTCAAGCTTAATTATATATTTTATATAAATGTAAAGATATTTGGATACGACGAGTGATGTTTTGAATCTTTTTGTATTGGACATTATGATATTGATATTGATATTGATGTGAGTATTGATACTTGTATTGATCCTAGTATTACTACGAGTATCGATACTCCAAGGGTATTGATAGGAGTATCGATACTACAAGACCAATATTGATACTACAAGAATAGTAACAATACTACAACCTAAAAAACTAAAGATTGAGAAACGC